ACCATAGTTAGCCTTAGACTTCAGTCCTTGTTACCAAGCTAAGGTGCTAAATAGGCCTGGTTGTTTTTCTTCAGGTCTGTGCACAGTTAACCCAACAGGGCAAAAATCTTAGTACACTAAGGAGAAAACCGCTTCCTGGTGTCGAGAAATGTGCAGTGTTCCTCTAGGTGAGATGGTATAACATATGTTAGATAAACTCTATTACACCATAGTATTGTGCAGAAAAAGTTGGAGGAAGCACTCTAAGCAGGTGGTCAGACAATACTGGGGAAAACTTTTATGCTGGCCAACACATCACAGGGGCCGACCTGGGGCCTCTAACATAATAGCAATGATTATGCACTGAACAGATGTGTGGATAGTTGTGGGACGAGTGTAACTACTGGCTCTCAGAGTCTAATGCTGCAAATTGTGTAGAAAATTTTATGAAGTCTGTATACCACTCCTTACCATTTTCCTCTACCTGTTAGCAATTGTTCTATTACTCCAACCATTTTGTAGTCTGAACCTACAGTGTTTCCTGACCACTGAGATGGAGAAACTAATCCAAGAAACTTCTTCCTGGGATTTTAGAGAGAAAAGGAGCATGACTTCCAGTCCCTGATGAACATTTAATCGAGATGGAAAGAAGACTACATGTCTCAACATTGCAGAAAATAGCAAAGCAGTTCTGAAAATTCCAAAGAGTAGGATTTAGCACTGTTCACACATGGAAACCATCAGCTCAAAATGCGGTACTCTTTGTGAATAACTGCTAAATTCACAACTGACATATCAAGACACATAGCACTGTCCATTTTTAACTTTTGAGGTCCATTTTTAACTTTGCAGGTATGGTTTTCTCTCTGTGAAGGGTACAGGCACTTAAAAAGTGTCAGAGAAACAAGGCATTCGGGACAGCAGTTGTAGGGATGACTCAGTGCATCAGCATCTATTTTGGAAGAAATTGTGACCAAAACAAATGTCACGTGTCTGACTCTTTTCTGTCCCCTTATTTGTTTTGGTCCTTATTTCACCTAACACTGTGTGGAAGGGACACAGGAAGAAAACATTACTCTTGAAGACTAGAGAGAGAGGGAGACGTGGGTGATGTCAGAGCCCTTTCAACACTGCAGGTGGAAGAGCAGCATGTGAGGCACATCTGCTGTAAACTAGAGGAGGATCCTTTTTATCTGTTTCAATCAGTTTGATCACAGAGTTAACACAGGTTTGATGGAGTGAGAAGCAGTAATGCAGCTATTTGTTTTCAGTTATTTCTTCCATCGGGGTTAACAAGCCCTTCCTTAGATGTGTACCAAGGGTCTTGTGAAAAACCAAAAGAAACAGTGGGAATCCAGGAGACTGGGAGACAGTCAAGTATTGTATCCGACAAGCCTCTGCCTAGCCTCAGCAGGCCATCCTGTGTTCCATGGCTCTGGTGTCTCTCCTGGTCTCTACTTCCCCCTTTGAAGTGGCTGGGCCCACTGCCTACACCTGGAAACTGATAAGACGTACTCTCTGCCCACTCTCATGGGTTTCCAAACAAAACAGCCAAGAATGCGCTCGTGTTGAACTACAGGCATAGCTGACTGGCAGGGTCCCTAAAGAATCAGCATGCCCACATTTCTGCCTCCTCTGATGTTCCTGAGCCTATCCTCAGTTCAAAATTAATAAAATCTATGTGCTTTTGTAAATTAAAATGAACAGATCCTCTGCTCGTTCTTTAAATCCTGATGTGCCAGTTTAATAACATTCCTCTCAACTCAAGATTATTTTGCAGACAGTATTTGCAGGAAGGGTTTGCTCTAGAAAGTGGCTGTAACTTTGTATGTGTTTGTTCATATTGACGATGATTCAGTTAGTATTTGTTCAGTATCACTGCGGGCCAGGCCCTGGGCTGAGTGGTGGGATTACAGCAGTGAATAAAAGTCTGCTCTTGGGAAGCCTCAATAGCCAAGGGAAGGGTAGTTATTTTTAAGAATATTTTGCAAAGAAGAATGATCAGTGAAAGTGTGGGTTTAAAAACATCTGGCATTAAATGCTACATATAATTTCTCAAAGATTTGCTTTTCATCCTTTTGTTAGGGAGGGACATTTAATATCAAAATTGCTATGCTGAGTGGCCATAATGAAAGAGAAGAAAACTCATACTGCCCAGCCTGGTGATTTAGCAGAGTTTTTTTTTTTTCTGCAAATATCTCCCTTACAAAGAACATTTGTGGGATGGATTCTTTTTTGAAAAAAGTTTAGTTTAGTCATGTCATTAGAGCTACTTGTTTTGCGTTTTTGGAAGAGAAGCTACATTTGTAGATGTTTCTGTACTTTTTATTCCAAGAAGATTTACATCAAAGCACAAGCTCCACGCACTGTTCGGGTTCCCTTCCCACTAGGTTGTGTCCTATTATTTTGCATAATATGACGACGCTTCAGAGCAGCACTGATTCTGTAGCCATTTCCTCTGGCTAACTGGAAGCAGCTCATTTCCGATGGAGTCGGGAATGACAAGTGGAACTAACCGGTTTCTGGTGGCAAGTGTACATTTAAACTTCCTGTTCTCTCGGAGCTTTCTTCATGTCTTTTTGTGGTGCATCCATTTATTGGAAATACGTAATATCCTCCAGATAATTAACCGCCTTGCTGAGTTTTGCTTGGCAGTTAACCCTCTCTCTCCTTTCCTTTGCCTTCTTGCCTCCACACTGGCAGGATTAATGTGCCTTCTCTGTGTGTCGTTTCTCGGTCAGCTTGGCTAATCATCCATCTTTATTTCCTCCTTAAGGGAGAACTTTGATTCAAATAGGGAACAAGTGAGTAGGTTGGCTGGTTCTCCTTGAGAGCAGCCGTGAATCAGCGCCAACAAGCCCAGCTCAGGTGCAGTGATCTCCAATTCTGAGCTCAATTTTATGTCCCCAGCAAGCATGCATAATCTTAGGCAAACAAACAGTTCTGCCAAGAAGGGCATCCAACTGTTCTTCAAGACAGAGCCACAATTCTTGGCTCTTGGATCAGTAAAATTATCTATTTTCAAAACAACCCTAAAAAAAGAAAAAAAGAGATGAACAAAGGGGATAGTGTTATTTATGTAACTTTGTTGTAAGGTTATAAAAAGTTTTTTCTCTTGGGGTACAAAGTGGGTATGGTATGTGTTCCCAAGCCTAGAGAGGCTGTTTGCAAAAGTAATGATATCTCTTGGGATTTTCCTTTGCTAATTACTTCAGCCTTTCTCCCTTGTGATTTTTTTAAATTTAAATTTTTTACGTTTTGCTCTGAAAGTTCTTAGGAGCAATTTTTGGGAACTGCTAAGCTTGATATCTCTCTTGCCTCTGAGCTGTTCTCAGGGACCATAAGGTGGACAGGCAGGGGGAGTAGCAATGAAGAAGGATCTTCCTTGTCACCAGAGGGAGGAGGGGCGAGGTAGTTGCAGCCATCATCTTGGCCGAAGCCCTCCGCATGCCCACTGTGACTCATTTAGCATTGCCTGGACGTGTTTCCTTTTCTGATTCTTTTCTTGCCACCTCGTGGCATCACCACTCACTAAGAGCCTGTCACCTGAAATTAGCACTACTTGAACCCACCTTGAAAGGGAGCGAGATGCAATATATACTAGAGAAGTGAAGGACTCCTTCCCAGATCTCCAGAAATACTTAAAAATGAAGCTCAAAATTGCAAAATCCACAAACAAGAAATTCAGAACCCTTATGTGCCCAGAAGGCTAATGCAGAGAGAAAAGCAGAGATGAAAGAAATCCAAAGGCATGTGGCCATTTTAAACAAGGAAGGCGGAATAAATTACCATGAAGGCATCTTTGTAGACAGGAATGCCCAACTTATAAGAGGAATAGAAGGCAGCCTTAGGGTCAAGGTCAAATGGAGTTGATCGGTGAATTCTCTCTCACTTAGCATATGCACCAGTGACACAGCCTGGGAAGCAGTGGGCTCTGCCTGCCACACCTGGGATTCCGGCCAATCCCAACCCCAGAATGTTCTTCTTCCCTGGAATGTTATCCAGTTCATGTCTCATGTAGTTGTTTGGGTCAGTTAGTGGGGACAGAAATAAGACCAAAGCAATTATTTGAGTTTCAGATCAACCGTATCTACTAGCTGTATTTTGTTTGTTTGCTTTGCAGGGAGTAATTTTGGATCGTCAATCTAATTGTTGACTCTGCTTGTTATCACTGAGAAGCATTTTGCAATGTATTTCAGCTGCATGACATGTTCCCATCTCAGGACTTAGACTGGACCTGGACTTGGCCCCTTTGGGAACTGAACATGTTTCATTTTCCTGTGTTTCTTGGCTTAGAGTTTTCAGATAGGTCTTAACTTTTCTTATTTGTTTAGGGAGAATCTTCAGGACACAGAGGAGTAAGGATAGTGGGTCAAAGGTCTTTTGTTGGTTCAGGCTTTCTGGAAGATACCCCAAATTTTTTTCTCTCCCCTTTTTAGGCTGCTCTTGAATTCATGGGCTAACGTGATCCTCATATCTCAGTCTCTCAAGTAAGTAGCTGGGATTCTAGGTATGCTACCATGCCCAGCTTTTTGTACTTCTTTTGACTATAAAAACAGTTTTTAAATTAATTTTATTTTTATGGTTTAACTGGCTTAGTTAGGATGCTGCTTCTTTAGTTTTAGAGAAGGATAACTCTCATCCACCAAGCATTTATTATCTTAATAGCTGTTGGGTGCTGTTGTGGACTACTACACAGCAAGTGACTGGTTTGTGTTACCCAGGGACTTCGACAAGGCTTCCCTGAGAGGGTTTTGGCAAATGAGGGGAGCTCCTGCCATAGAGACGGTGGAGGAGGAAATTTCAGGCAAAGCAAAGATACCAGCGCTAGGGGAATGAGAACTTGAGAGCCAGATTCTGTGGAGAAGGTTGGGAACTTGCTGACCATGTCAAAGGTCAAAGGAGTTTCTGGTTTTAGGATGCAGACTCTGCCCCTTCCTTGGAAGCAGACAGTGTGGTCCCGGTCTGCTTTGCAGGTCATGAACTGGCACATGACCTGGCGCTGCCAATCAGATGTCTCCATTCCAGAATTCCGATAGTGAGGTGAAGAGGCAGGGGGCTGAAGCAAAATGCGTTTCTGCTGTCAATTTCTGCAGGCTGCAGGACTCCATCAGGGTAGGTGTCCGTGGGTAGAGGGTGGGGTGGAAGCTGTGGTGACTGCCCAGCAGCAGGATAAGCCCCCCCACCCCCAGCGCGATTCTAGTCACTGCTGCTGGCTGTGCGGCCTGGCTCTCCAGGAGATCCTGTGAGCTGATAGGCTTTTTAAAATTTTTATTTTTAAAAGTCATGTGTGCTGAGGTCGAACTTGCTGATATAGTAAGATGCTTCCTTTTAAAATTTATTGTCTAGGGCCAGGGATTTAGCTCAGTGGTTCTGCCACCTGCCTTAAAAGCAGAAGGACCCAGAGTTTGATCCCCTGTAGGAAAAAAAAAATTACTGTCTCACAAGCGCAAGGTCCTGAGTTCAATCTCTGGTACCACCCCCTATAAAAAATAAATAAATTTATTGTCTAATGAGTTTTGACAAATGTTTTCAATTGTGTAACCATCACTATTAAACACATACTAATTAAATCACCCAGAGTTCCGTTGCATTCCTGTGAAATCAGTCCCCTCTCACTATAGCCAAACTCTGATATTAAAGGCAGCTATATTAGATAGAAATTAATATACAGTCGGAAAGGGACTGGGCTCAAAGAAGTCAGTGAAAAAGACATCAGAACTGTGGCTGGAGGGGCATCTCAAGATGACAAGGCCTCAAGTAACAGTGGGCAGACTTGCTGCTTCCCTAAAGGCTAAATGGAAACTTGAGGTTACACTGATTAGCACCACCCAGCCCATTAAGTGCAGTTATGCATCAGATACTCAGGTGGGTGACCAGGACCTCCCTTCTCAAAACTGTTCCCGTTTTAGGGGCCATAGATAAGCTCAAATTAATGATACTAGCCATATGACCTCGGTCTGTACCCGGCTTCCTAATTGGCTATACTTGCAACCTTACTGCTTAATGACACTTTAAACCAGTTGTGCCTGCACTGTGGCTTTGTTGTTTAAATTTTCCCAACATAGGGCCTTGGTGGCAACTCACTCAGGACTGCTCCTGTCTCACAGGAGCTATCTCTCAATAAACCTTTCCTGCTCTTAGTCTCTGTTGTCCTTTGGAATGTGTTCTTTGATTTCAGGGGACACAACCTCAGCACATCTGACATCTCGCAGATTGGGAGTTATATTTCTCCTCTATCACTGGCAACCTTTTGACCTGAGTTTTTGCCCCGTTTTGCCTTTTTGAAGTGCTCCTATAAATGCAGAAACAAGGTATGTGTCTCGTTTTTTTTCCCGCTTTGCAAAATACTTTTGAATTTCACTAATGCTCTGCATATTAGTTCATTCCTTTCTATTGTCAAGAAGTTGCCAAACTATTTCTCCAGGAGTTACACCATTTTGCACTCTTACCAGCGATATATAAATGTCCCATTTGCTCTGCAGTCTTTGTCAGCCCTTTCAGTAGTTATGCAGTGTTATCTCAGGTTGGTTTTACTTTGCCTTTCTCTAGAGGCTAGAAATGAACCTCTTTTTATGTGCTTATTTGCACCATTTTATCACCTTTGGTAAAGTGTATATTTTAATATTTTGTCCATTTGTGTTGCATATTATTTTATTGAACATTTAAAAATATCCCATATACAAGTTTTTTATCAGGTGTTAATTATTTTAATTATGAGCTTGTCTTTCCATTTTCTTAGCATTTCCATTCAAATAGCTGAATTTTTTTTGTTGTTTTGTTTTTGGTACTGGGGATCAAACTTGGGTCCTTGTGCCAGTGGGCAGGCAGCAGAACCACTGAGCTAAATCCCTCTCCAAATAGCTGAATTTTTGAAGAGGTATAATTCATTAATATTTTTATAGCTCATGGTTTTTTTTGTATCCTATCTAGGAAATTTTCATGTAAAATCAGAAAGATCTTGTATTTCCTTCTAGAAATGTTACAGCTTTAGGTCTTATATTTAGGTCTATGATCCATTTTCAGTTAATTTTCATACACATTAAAGGTAAAAATTAAAAATTTTAAATTGGCAAATATATGGATTTTTGGATTGTTCTATCACTGTTAGAGAACTCAATTCTTTACTGTTGAAACACTGGCATCTTTGTTGAAAGTTAGCAGCATATACGAGGCCTTCATTTGGACCATTTGTTCTGTTGAAATGTTTTGCCAATGCCACGGTGTCTCGAAGATGGGTAATGTAAGTTTTTAGTTCTTTTAAAAAATTATTTTAGCTATTCTGGATTCTTTACATTTCTATGTAACTTTTAAAATATTTTTTTCAGTTTTTACATTAAAAAGCCTAGAGGGATTTTCACTGGGATTGCATTGAATTTGTAAGAGTGAAATGCTACAGTATTGAATCTTCTGATCCACAGCATTATTCAATCTTGCCATTTCTTAAGGTCTTTATTTTCTCTCAGTAATGTTTTAATATTCAATATATATAACTTGACATATTTTGTTAAATTTATTTATAAATATTTCACATTTTATAAATATGCTTGTAAATGGTGTTGCTTTGGTAATTTCAAATGATATTGAAATGATAAATTTTAATTAATTTCTAGTTGATCATAGCTAATACATGTAATTTATTTCAAATATATAATCAATTTTTTTGAAGTTATTACATTTTTGGCCTAATTTTTCCTTATTATCATTTAAATTTTTATAGAATCTATAATGGTATTTCCTCTTTTGTTTCTGATGTTGATAATTTGTATCTTCCTTCTTTTTCTTATTGGTCTGGTTAAATGTTTATAAACTTTGTTGAAATTTTAAAGAACTACATTTTGGTTTCATGAATTTTCTGATTCTCTGGTCCTATTTCACTGGTTTCTGCTCTTTATTATTTCTTTCCTTCTACTTACATGATGTCACTTGGTATTCTACTCCTAGGTCCTAATGCAGAAGCTCAGATCATGGATGAAAGATCTTTCTTCTTTTTAAATACACACATTTAATGCTATAAATACCCATCCAAAAACTATTTTATCTACTTTCATTTTCATTGTGTTAAAAATATTTATTGCTTTCTGTCTTGATTTCTTCTTTGGCTCAAGTGTTATCTAAAAATAGGTTATTTGGTTTTCAAATCTTTGGGACTTTCTCAGATGTCTTTCTGTTTTTGTTTGTTTGTTTGTTTTTTGTTTCTTTTTTGAGACAGGGTCTCACTGTTTAGTTGAGACTGACCTGATACTCACTATGTAGCCCAGGCTGGTCTTGAACTCAAAGCGATCCTCCTGCCTCAGCCTCCCAAGTGCTGGGATTACAGGCATGCGCCACCATGCCCGGCAGATGTCTTTTCATTATTAATTTCTCATTTGATTCCAAACTTTATAGAATATATTTTGTATGATTTCAGTTCTTTCACAGTTGTTGATTTGTTATATGGTCTAAAATAGTCTATGAATGTTCCATTTATATTACAAAAAAGGTTTATTCTGCTGCTCCTTGCTGGAGAATTCTATGAATAGCAATGAAATCTAGATAGTTGATAGGTTTTATTTTGTTTTGTTTTTTTTTTTTTTTTTTTTTTTTTTTTTTTTTTTTTTTTTGGTACCGGGCATTGAACTCGAGTCTTTGCACTTGCAAGGCAGGCCACCAAACCGCTGAGCTAAATCCCGGGCCCTTGTTTTGTTTTGTTTTGGTGCTTGTTCTATAAAATACTAAGAGAAGAGCATGTTACAGTCTCCATGTATTGTTACGGATTTGTCTATTTTAACTTTGATTTCTATCACTTGTTCTATTTATTTATTTATTTTGGTACCAGGGATCGAACTCAGGTCCTTGTGCTTGTGAGGCAGGCAGAGGAACCACTGAGCTAAATCCCTGGTCCTTGTCCTATTTATTTTGGTGGACTTGATAATAGGTGCAAAGACATTTAGGATCCTTGGGTTTCATGATAAACCGACTCTTTTATAGGTAATGCTTCTCTTTATCTCTGGAAATATTCTTTGTTCTGATGTCTATTTTGATATTAATGTTTCTAACCTCTTTTAGAGTAGAGCTTGCATAGTACAAAACTTTTAATTTATCTATATTTATACATTTCAGATAGTCTCCTGGTGGATTTTTCTGTCAATTTAGCAAGGTCCAGTTTTTATTTGTAGATCATTTACACTGCACATAATCATTCTTAACGGTGGGTTTATACCTGCCCTCTTACTAGTTTTCAGTTGTCTCATTTCCTCTTTTATTTTCTTTTCTTGTATGCTTTTGAAATCATTAGGCGTTTATAATTCAGTTTTGTCTCTAGGCTTGGCTTACTAGTTATATCTATTTTAAGTTGTTGCTCTTGGGTTCATAACATACATCTTAACTATTCTTCAAACAATGTATCTTATAATAGCAAATTTTGATTTCCTTTCCTCTATCTGTTGTTGTATTTTTCTACAGATGTTAACTTCACAATACATAGCTACCATTTTTGCTTTAAATGGTCAATTATCTTTTAAGAAGAGGGAATATAAGGAAAATTTAAAAAAATATTTACCTCTCTTACCCTCTTCAGAACTCTTCACTTTGTATAAAATAGAAAATTTTGATCTGGTTTTATAGTCTTTCTGCCTGATTGATATGGTTTTAACATTCTTGTACTCATTACTCAAAATGGATTTTCTATTTTTGTTTGTTTGAAAAAGCTTTTATTTCATTATTTTTGCAGGATTTTTCTAAATAAATTCAGTATTAAATCTTTTTTCCTTTCTGTGAAGAAACAATATTTTTTTCATTAATTGGTACATTTTTAGGTATACAATATACTGACATTTAACATCAGGAATTTGTACCTTTACGTGATGTATCTTGGGTTCTTATTTCCTCATTCCCCTGCCCTACCTTCAACCCCTCCACCCCTCCCTATTACAAAGACTTTGTTTCCATTTTGTCCTTTTCTCATATTTATTCCTTTGCCTTCTTTCCTTTCCTCTACCTCTCCCACTTCTCCTTTGGACCTTTTCTTCCTATTTCACATTATCTATTATACATTTTGATCTTTATTTACACTTTTAGTTTCTCACACTACAGAAACTATTCAGTATTTACACATGTGAAACAATATCTTCTTTATTAGGTAACACTTCTTATTTCTCTGGCCTCTGTCTAGCTTTTCTCTTTGACATTGATTTCCAGAAGATAGCTTCTGTGTCTAGGAGAGAGTGAGCGTTAAATTTATAATTCTGTCTGGGGTTCTCTGGGCTTCTTTGTTCTATGGTTCATTAATTTTGAAAAATATATGGCCATTAGCTGTGCACATATTTCTTTTGCCCCACGTACTCTGCTTTCCTTTGACATCTTCAGTTACTCCTATTTGTTGTTCTGGCACAGTATCTTAAATGTTCTTTCTTTCCTACTCTTTTCCTTCTTGTGCTTCCGTTTGCATAATCTCCATTTACCTATTCTCATGTTTACTGATTCTTTTCTCTTCTACAGTTAGTCTTCTGATCTATTAAAGGAGTGTTTTCTCTGCTATCCTGTTTTTTTTTTCCCTCCAGAATTCCTATTTGATTTTTAAAAATGTCTTTGACCTGTTGGAATTCATCATCTGTTTGTGGATGTTATTTTTTCCCACTAGCTCTTTTAACAGATTAATTATAGCTATTTAAACATTCTATTCTTATTGGAGTCAGTATCCAGGTCATTTGGGAGTCTGGTTCTGTTCATTGCTTTGTGTCTTAAGAAGGTATTGTCTTGACTCTTGTGGAATTTACAATTGTTGTTGGGTGGCAGACACTATATGTAGTGTCGTGAAGACTGAAGTGAGTCAGAGGCCTGGCTTTGGAGAGCTGGGTTAATCTAGTCAGTAGTTTACTTAGTAGTTAGTAGATTGTTCCTTTGGAGGGCTTTTATTAGTATATGTGCTCTACCTGGAGCTTTTAGCAGCCCTTTGTGATCTGACAGGCTCAACAAAAGTTAACATTTGAAAAACTCAATTAAGTTTTCCTAATTGTCAGGATGGGGACAATATTCTCTTGTGGTTTTCTGTATCTTAATTGGAAGCAGAGCTATACTTACTCTTCTTTTTAATAACCTCATTTTTTGGTTTAAATCATTTCTGCACCATGAGAACTTTGCCTAATAGAGGAGGCAATGGGTGGTACTAGATTTTTTTTTTTTCCTCATTGAGTTTATTGGTACATTTTAGGTATACAGTACAGTTACATTCATTTCTGGGATCTTGTACCTTTACATGATAGGTCTTGGTTCTCATTTTTTCTCCTCATCCCTGCCCTCCCTTCACCCTGGGTGGTACTAGTTAAGGGCGGAC